GTAATAAATATTAGTAAGAAAAGTAGACTTTCATATTACTGGTGAAAAATGTAACCATTTCTTATTCAAAACTAACACATTACCTACACTATGATAGACAGTGGAGACAAAAATTAAACATAATCTCATTGTTCAACATATATTAAGAGTTTTTAAAATTTAACAGTCTCATAAAAACTGTGGTTTATTGCAAATAACAGGCAAAACACCGAGAGAGAGAGAGAGAGAGAGAGAGAGAGAGAGAGAGAGAGAGAGAGAGAGAGAAACTTAATAGTATTCTTCAGTCTGTAGCTTTATATATTAGTATTTAAGTTTTGACTCATATCCTAAACCTTATGTCCATATTTTAAAGAAAACATATTTGAAAGTCTTCTTTAGTGAATGCTTCTCTCCTGATCCCACTCCCACTGCCATACACACAAAGTGCATTTAAGATCACAATTCTGGGTTAGCTAAGAAACTTAGACTTACTAGTAATTGCAGTGCATCAGAATTCCACTCAATAATATAATACTGCACATAAATATTCCATGACATGGCAGACATATCATTAATAAATGTTTTATTAATAGAATATTAAAATAAAAGATCAGTAAAGAGAAAGGCCCTGAAGAAGCAAGAGTTAGAAAGGAAGAAGGAAAGAAATGATGGAAGTAAGAAAGTAAAACAAAAGAGGAAGTTAAAGAGAGGAAAATGTATACTCAAGTATCAAATATTCTAAAAATTTTGTAAAACTTTGCGTATTTAGCATTTGGAATTGCCATTAAAAACCTAAAAAAGCAAGAACATAAATTGTTCTCAGAAATTTTTTTTTTTTCATGAGAACTGTTAAATGAAGCATTCACTCTTTAAAAACACTATGTTCAGTATGTGTCATGAGAAAGCAAATCATATAGAAGAAGCTCATTTGCAGGAGTTGAGATCTCTAACAGACATATTTTGTGCTTATATTGTAATTGTTTTTGCTCTTTTAAATTAAGGAAGGTTTGGTCATTTATGGCTATGACTTTTTCCCTGTTCTGCTTTATTTTAATCTTTCAAAATTAAGAATGAATATTTTCTTAAAAATGTAGTGAATATTTGCTTTTAAAAGTAATCATGTTCTGAATTTGCAGCAAACCTTCTCATAATTGACTTAAAAAATTAACGAAGTATACCTGTTATTATCTTTGGAGTAATTCTAATTACTCATGTACTACGAATACATTATAATAATTATTATTTGAAAGGAGCTTGTAAAATCTGATGCCACTACAGGAGTCCATATATAGAGAATTGGAAGGAAATATGATTAAAAGCTAAATCTTTCATACCAGTATAAGTAAACACATTCAAGACAATAACACAATGATCTTTATAATTTCTGTCTATTACATTTTAAGATGTTCATGTAAGTTACCTAAATTAAAATCCTTAAGTAGATGTTATTCACTTTAAACATATTTTCCTTGAGCATATTTACTTAATATTTTTGTCATCTTTCCAGTGGCAATTTACAACTAAAAATCCATTTAATCACTTTCTGCATGCCTTACATTTTATTGTTACTTTACAATTACTTTAAATATCCCGAACAGTAATTAAATGTATAAGACGATTAAAATATTGCTTATATAAAAATAAGTAAATACTGGAACAGACTCATTCAGTCATCTCTTAATTTCATTCTGCGTAGATAAAATTTATTTTTTGACCTCATTAACCTATTCCTTGGTACTAGTCACTGGTCCCCTTTCCACACTTCCCAAACTACTTGCCCTTAGGTACCGTTTTCACAGTCTTAGTAACAGATGGCAACTCTTTGCACCTTAGGGGAATGTTCTTAAAAATCTTTCATTCTAATCTACAATTTTCTGAAGTTTTCTAGTTCTAATATATAGTAACAGAATGATATAAAAGTAAGGGACTTTAGAGATAATTTAGTGCAGTCCCCAAGAGCCAATTAGGGCAGAACAAAGCCTGAATCCCCTAGGAAGGTGCAGTTGTCTCAATACCTTTCTGAATGTGTGCATCTTCATGAATGTTTCACACATAGTTCTATTGCTTTTCTTTTTTTTTAATCTAAAATTTTTATTGTTTAAAGTATTACATGAGTCTCCTTTTCCCCCCATTGACTTCTCCCCACCCCCCATACCCCCCAGCACATGCCTCCCCCCGCCCCCCCCCCCCCCCCACACACACACACTGTCTGTGTCCATTGGTTAGGCTCATATGCATGCATACAAGTCCTTTGGTTGATCTCTTACTCCCTCACCCTCCTCCTTCCCTCATAGTTTGGACAGTCTGTTTGATGCTTCTATGACTCTGGTTCTGTTTTTGTTCATCAGTTTATATTGTTCATTATATTCCACTGGTGAGTGAGATCATGTGATATTTACCTTTCTCTGACTGGCTTACTTCACTTAGCATAATGCTTTCCAGTTCCATCCATGCTGTTGTAAATGGTAAGAATTCTTTTTTTTTTTTTTACAGCAGTGTGGTATTCCATTGTGTAGATGTACCACATTTTCTAATCCACTCATCTGCTGATGGGCACTTAGGCTGTTTCCAAATCTTAGCTATTGTAAATTGTGCTGCTATGAACATAGGGGTGCATATACTATCCTTTCTGATTGGTGTTTCTGTTTTCTTGGGATATATTCCTAGAAATTGAGGAAATTCCATATTGTTTTCCACAGTGGCTGCACCAGTCTGCATTCCCACCAGCAGTGCAGGAGGGTTTCTTTTTCTCCCGCATCCTCTCCAGCACTTGTTTGTTGATTTGTTGATGATAGCCATTCTTACAGGTGTGAGATGCTGTTTTGATTTGCATCTCTCAGATGATTAGTGACTTTGAGCATGTTTTCATATGGTTTTTGGCCTTCTGTATGTTCTCTTTTGACAAATGTCTATTTAGGTCCTTTGCCCCTTTTTTTGATTGGATTGTTTATCTTCTTTTTTTTTTAAGCTGTATTAGTTCCCCTATTTTCTTTGTCTTTTTTTTTTTTCATCTCTCTCTCTCTTAGAGATGAGAAAATGTTTTTTTTTGTTTTTTTAAATTTCCATATTTGAAGCATAGTTTTGTTCTCAGTTTCATCCCCTTAGGCTTTTGAATAATATTATGCCTGCTTTAATTGAATCCATAGCCCCAAACAATATGATCACTGAAGTGAACTGCATATTGGTGTCTACTAAACAACGTCTGACACAGACTTTGGTAGAATTTTATAAGAATTTTTGTAACACACTCTATATATTTCTACCTTGAACTTTTAAGTCTTTGCTGACATTCTGGCATGTTGTCATTAAGCAGAACAAAAGATGCCATGTGACATTTCCAAAAGAAGCATAAGATAATGTGCTTTGATCAGCCTAAGTACAGGTTATACAGTTGGCTCTATTGTTATTGTAACTGCAGAAGGACTGTCTGCCTCTAAAAGTCAGTTTTCATGCCCTACCCTGGTGTCTGAAATCAGTATTAGAATCACTTGGGGAATTGAGGAGCTTTTAGAATGTCTCTGTGTGTGTACATTTATGTAATAAGCAGAGCAGAAAGGCATGGCACTTATCATTTACACATTTACATAAAATCAATAGTTGTCAGAGAAAATCAAACATTGCAAATTACCTGGATGTAATATGGCCTAGACATGTTGGAGTGATGTACCCAGAAAATTTAATATTTGGGAAAGAAATGGACAAATTCTATAAGAAAGCTGAAAGGTTTATGTAGAAAATTAATGTAATGCAGAGAAGAGAAAATTCCCTCAAAAGCAAAAATACTTCCCACACTCAATTTTGCTCCTATTTAAGTGAATCTTAAGAAAAAAATTGGATATATATGCCCACAAAGCAGATCTGCTTCCTTAAACAATTTCTTGAACACTGCAGAACATCCAATTTATTAATTATTTTCCTCACAGGAAAAATAAACAAGTGTATTCATTTCAACAGAGTCCCTGAAAACTCATGAGTAGATCCAGTGCAAAATTATATTACTCTCCAGGAATATAGCACCTATCAGTATGTATGCATTTTGGTGGAAAACAATGTTTTGAATGCTATAAAAATTCTTGAATAAACTTTTTAATGAAAGAAGTTTTAACCAATTTGGTAAAATTTAGGCTTAATTTTAATTGCCCCCCCCCTTTTTTTATACAAGTAAGTCCTGATGGCTGTAGGTGGGACATGGGGATATGTGAATAATAAGCCTTTTGGATAGTTGGCCAGTTCAGTTCGCTGTTTGTTTACAAGTTCAAGCAGTCAGGAAAGCAGTCAGGAATCGGCTGGCATGGCATCCCCTCTTTCTTTGCTGTCAAGGCCCTTCAAGCCTCACTGGGATAAGAAACCTCACATATACTGAAAGGATTGCTAAAGGCTATGAAATGCTTCCGGCATACCCCATCTTTCATAGAACAATTTGATATATTAGACCCACTAAATATTGCATAACCGTCAGGATTTTGGCAGTGGAAGGGGAAGCTGAGAACTTTCACTGTTTTCATCACTAAATGATTTTTATTTTTAACCCTGTAATCTCCAACTCCATTTAGCTGGACGATACAGTTAAACCATGAGAATAAGGAGGGAGAGTGCTGACATTTTACAGGAAAATACATGAAGTCTGATCTATGTTATGCAGCCCTCATAGCAAACACTAAGAGAAGATTCTGTTTACGAATGATGATAAGCACTGCCAGCTTTCTCATTTTCTCCTGGTGCTCAAAGCATGTTTTTCTCCAGAACAAGTTTCTGCTGCAGCGACTCCCTCTAGCAGTTCCGTGAACCGAGGAAAAGGGAACGGAACACCAAACACATCCTTCCCAGTAAACAAATGGAGGGAAAAGCAGGAAAGTTTGACCACGAAGATCAAAAGGATCAGGGAACTGTTTTGGAGTGGCTGAACAGATTCATTCTGTTCCCCAGTGGCTTCCCACCCCCCGCCCAGCCTCTCCTCTCCCAGCGGCACCGCCTCCTCCCTCCTCGCGTCTTCCTACGGGAGCTGCTGTGCCCGCGGAGGGCTTCGGATGCTCGGACCGGCAGTCCCAGGGAAAGCAGAGGCTGTTGCGACACCGAGAGCATTCAGTTTCTTCAGGACTGCTTGTGAATGGCGCGTGAGGTCCAATGATGCCCACGCTGATCAGAAGTCTGGAATTTCTCGCCCGGAATGCCTCAGCTGACCCCAGCAGAAGCCAAGTCACAGGGGTGGCCCCGCACATCTCCGTGAGTTGATATGCAAAATAGTTACGTCAGCTGTGGGGGCGGGGCACCCCCGGTTGAGTGGCAGCAGCTCTTGCTTAGGGAGGAGGTGCTAGAATCAGCCTGGTTCAGTGACTGAGACAAACCTGGAGGTGAGAGGAACTGGTGCTGTCCGCTGTGCTGTGGGTGCTGAACCTGGGAAGGGAGCAGAACAGTTGCTCAGGCATCTCGAGGCAACGCCCTCTTGCACCCTCTGTGCCCTGCCGGACCGCTTCGCCAGCAGGACTATATCAACTTGACAAAGGAGTGTGGTAGCGGACGTGGGAGAGAGTCCTCTCTTTGCCACCTGGGCGCTCATTCAGGCGTGACTTTGGAGATTTCTATAGTTTTAGACCAAACTATTTTCATCTTTTCCCAGCTAAGAGGATCTTTTTAGTTTTTTTTAATTATTATTTTTATTGTGATTTCTATTTCCACACCTTTTAGGGATCTTTCTGGGAGACTTTTTTTGACTGTTAAAATAAGGTAAGAAAAATATTGTTATAAATTATTATAAAGGGGGGGGGGTTCAGACTGCCATACAAAATTTAAAAGCAAGTTACGATTATTTTTATAATTTGAAATGGTACTTTTGGCAATCATTGCAATAATTATTTAAATGATTTTTATCATTATTATTAAAAGAACATCTATTGGTAATTATGCACTGGATTCTAGAGGGGAAATTGAGGGCTTTGCTTTTTGTGTGAAGTTAATGTCATCATGTTACATCCTGCTTTATAAATATAAACATTTGTAGAGCAACACTTCCAGCATGGCTCAAGGAGCAGGAACAATTCAATGCAAGCCCCCAACTATGCTAATAAATTACAGTAAATAAATCAACCAACAAGTTGTTTAAAACAAATGTATTCTTAAAGACATATGTGAGTGGACTAATTTCTGATTTATTAACATTACCTCTGGTATCTAAAGCATAGATTACAAAGTGCAGAGCTCTCTTAACATGTTTGGAGGGGAGGTGCTAGGAATAGGAGCATTTATACCATGCTGGGTTTATTTAGATGTATTGTTATGCAGCAGATCCAAATAAAACTTGTGAAACTCAGTCTCTGAAAATTCTATACCCCAAGGTCATGTGCATTTCCAAGTTGGGAGCTGTTTGTTCTGCTGTTGACTAGTAAATGTCATCCCCTCCCACCCCCTCAGGTTAGAGTTGGATGTAAATGGGAAGCTCTGATTTAATAATACAGTTTTAGCTTGTATTATAGTTGCTATTGCTGTTGGTAATTGAATGGAACTCAGAAGTGTGGGTTGAGAAAATGTCTCGCTATTTCAGCAATGTTTAACCTCTTGCATGCTTAACAGAGAGCTTTTCTCTACTTAGATGATTTTCTTTTGAAGCTATTTTCCTTTTGTCAATTGGCAGTGTGTTTTGAGTGTGTTTGGAGAAAGAATTCAGTGCAGAAAACCACCAAATAGTACTTCTCACAGTGAATGATTATTAAATAATAGAAGTTAGCTGGTGCTGTTTGTTTTTCATTACTGTTCAGACTTTGAAACACATGATGGCTTGTTTGATAGATAGAATTATGATCTTTCATTTATGACATTTAGTGACATCAGATTAAGTGTAAATGATGGCTGGGAAATGATTGGAGTAGGGGTTTCTTTGCGTTTCATGGGAGAGAGTTCACGTTGCAACCAGTGTGCTATATTTATAGGAATGGGTAAAATAAAAGCTGTTGCAGAGTTAGTAATTATTGCCTAACTGACGAAGGCAGTTTCAGCAATTAAAGATTACACTGAGCTTAAGTATTTTTATATTTTTAATTATAAAAATTTCTACTCTAGTTGCATTATACTTACAGGGATGAACTTTAGCTTTAGAGTTTATAATTTAAAATAATTCCTCTGGGTAGAGATTTTTTTATTTTATTTACAGCACAGTCCTACACAAGAGTGATTTTTACAAGGAATGAATATTATTGCAAACACTAGAGGTCAAATGTAAATCCCTTAAAGGTTTTTCATGTTTTGCCCTAAGCAGATGTTCTTTGTAGGATTTATGCCAGTCATGGGATCTTACATTAAATATTGCTACAAATTTTTAAAAACAGGGCAGGTAGAGGAGCAAAGCAGAGTATGTGAAACACTGAGCCATGAAGCTGATACCAAACAGACTTCTATAAATTTATGTAGCATTATTCTTCTGTACATTTTTCATTTTGTCTTTAAAACTAATTATCTTGGTATATATATATTTAGACTGTGGAATTTCAAACAGAATCGTGGCTTCTTTTAATTTTAGTTTTATTTTCTTATATTGAAACATCAACATATATTTTACTTTGTAACTTACTTGAAAGGCAGTAACACACACACAAACACACACACACACACACACACACACACACACACACACACACTATATTCACCCAACTGTATGAGTATCTCATTGACTTCTTTTTGCATAAAGTTTTCCAAGATGTATGTCTTTGTTTGAGTATGAATGGTTATCTTGAACAACCAATACCTGGAATTCTTTCAGATGAAGTTTCATATTGTCAGAGTTTGATGCTTAAATGCTGAAAACAAAATATTTGACTGGCAATAATGAAATCAGCCAAAGGTAGATTCAATTAAATTGATTTTTTTAAACATATTTGGCCTTTGTATCTTATTTCTGAAGAGATAAAATTAGTTTACCATAATTAGCCCAAATTTAGCATATAGGAAATACTATTTGGAAACAGCATATGATTCCTACTGTAAACAAATAAAATTACTATCTTTGAAGACACCTATGAAATATATTCAAATATGGCCCTTCATTAGTTCTTTGTGCCACAAAAATGACCATGTTTTGGTGTTATATAAGCTGTCCATGTAAAATTCAAAGGAATGTTCAATCCAGTAATGGATAGCCTGCTAAAGCACTAATTCATTTCCTTACATAGGCACTGCAAGTGTATATAACACTTTTTACTTCAAGATGATGAACTTTTACAAAGTGCATAGAAAAATTACTGAAATAATTCAGTTATGTTATATGACATGCTCAAGTTGTATTTCTTAGTGGTTTCTCAGTTTCTTAAAGCACATTGAGCTAGACAAAAGTAAAATTAAAAAGTATGGCTGGACAGATGTCTTTCTTTCTTACAAATAAGATAACTGTGTTTGGTGGGATTTAATCTAAAGTTGAAACAGTTTGGGTTATAAGTTATCAAGGCTACATATTTATTTCTTTTTTATGTACTAACATGTTCAATAGAGAAATACAGAAAATAATAATATGCCTAAAATATGCTAAAAAGTTTGAGTGAATTGACTTTTTAAAAGTAACATTAAATTACATTCAGGAAATTATGCAAATAATAGTTTATTGACAATTTTCTTTCCTTAATGCTCATTTATCAATGCGACCAAAGACCCTGAATAGTAGGTTCCTATTCGTCGTTCATATTTGATCAAAATCACCATACTAACTTTAATATGTTTATTACTTAATATATTACCAAGTTCAAAAGACCCTTATGAATAAATAGGCTAGAAAAAAGTACTTCCTGTTGTTAATATCATTGTAATAGCTCTTTGAACAATTATCCTTTGCCAAACAGACTTAATCACTTCTGCTTCAACACCTCCACTGTCCTTTGGGTATAGTCTACTTGAGGTGAGCTGTAGAATCCCTAGTGGAATATCCTAACTTTTCCATCAAATAGGTCACCACAACAAAACAATTAATCCCTTTGAGCTTTAATCACCTTGATATCAAGGAAGTTAATATTATTGTAATGGATGAGATAGTGTTTCTGGTAAATTCAGAATTCCAGGATTCCAATGGGTTTTCTGAAAGAGGAATTAAACAATAGTATAAGCATGAAAGTGTATGCATGTGTGAGTATAATTTTGGTAGATTCTCCTCTACCAATAACATGCAATGAGAATGATGTGGAATATTAAGTTCAACAATAGCTGCTTAATATAACAATAATTTACATAATAAGCTATATTATATACATTTTAGTAGCAAGTATGTCATCAAATTATTGTTATTTTTTATTTAGGCTAGTATGCTTGAGCATGCACAATTTTTTGACATGAAAGTATCATTCAGGAGCTCTCATGCTGATTGACAAGGGAAGGGGCAATTAGAAATGAAAATTTGCCAGGAATTAGAAAGAAAATAGATGTGTACATAACAAAGAGTTTAGAGTGCTACACTGATTCTGAGAAAATATGAATTCTGAAAGTTATTCTCTAAAAAAGACATTTCAGGTTTACTTCCTACTCCTTTTTGGGTAATAAGCCATATAACTTCTAAGGGACAAAGCCTGGATATTTCTACACCTAAAACATTTTTATTTCGAAGAACAGCTTAACTCTGAACTCTCTTTATTTAAAACCAAGTAATTAATATTAATTTAATGTGAGTTTTGATATCAAATTATGTAAATCTCTAAAGCAAAGTGGTTGCTCAGTGAGTTCATTTGAATGTCAATACAGAGAATATTTTTCCAACTCATAACTAGTTCTTAGCATTGCCAGCAATTCTCAAGCACAATGCAAAAGATTTGAAAATACTTTTTAATTAAGTTTTATTTATATATGTTCATTGTAATTGACAGTTAAGAGAAAGTTACTTTAGTGATATATTTTCTCTGTGTATCACCAAGGTAGTAATTAAAATATTCGTACAATAGCAATTAAAACATACAAACCTGAACTATGTTCCCCAAAGATGATGATGAAATGGAAGTAATTTACCTTACATGGTTGGACCACTTCTGCGGAACACATTAGATAGTGTTTTAATGACCACCAGGGACTTATTTTTCCTAATTTCTAAAACCCCAAAAGTGAAGGTTCTTGCTCTCATGCAGAGACAAATGCCCCCTTGCACTCTATGGTAATGTGGCCCTTTTTCTCAAAGCCACCATAATTGCTGTGACCTTGGTGTCAACCAGACTCTGCACTGCCTCATTGAGGTTTCAGAAGGTGGTCCCATTGAACTTTCTAAAGAAAGAGAGTCAGTGCGTTGTTACTATTAAACACGTTTGAGGTTTCATGATAGAATACCATAGATATTTAAGCATAAGGTCTTTGAGTGTTGATTTGCTTATACATTTAAGACGAGGAAGAAGACAGAAAAAAATCCCATCCAAAGTAATACTATTTATTCATATTAGGCCATATCATCCATATTAAGTCATTTAACATTTACATAACCATGTAAAATTAATATTATCTTCATTTTAGATATAAGAAAACAGAAACTCGGATCAAAGCTCTCCACCTCTCTAGCCCATGGTCACACAACCAGGAATAGGTGAATTAATCAATTAAACCAAGTTCAATCCTCTTTAACCTACACTGCTCTAGAACCTCTGTTTAGGTCAAATAGTCAATTGTGTGTGTCTTAAAACTTTATTTTTGGTGATACTATTTTTACTAAATGTGAATATTCCCAAATATTTTCCTTAATTACTGTTGTATTAAAATTATTTAATAGCATATATTCT